AAGAACAAGTAGTAAAAGGGCCTTAGCAAAACCTAATGGATTACTAAGCCTTGAATAGTTTAAGGGTGGGTTTACAGACTAAAAACAAAAGTTACAGCACACTTTGCAGACACTTTTGGCTGTTCCAATACAAAACTGCCATACCACCACCATGCCACCGCCACCACCCTACAACTGGCCTTTGGATGTAGCACATCAGTTTATGGCAGGAAGCTATGCATAATTTAAAGGCAGAAGCGAGTGGACTTTGTGACCTTAGAGCAGGGGTGGGCAAAATGCAGCCCACCAGGCCATTCTATCTGGCCCACAGGACCCCTAAAAATTTTAGAAAATTAATATTTATCTATCTGTCCTGGGCTGCCTGTCATGCAGCCCTCGATGGCTTGCCAAAACTCAGTAAGAGGCCCTCTGCCCATAACAATTGCCCACCCCTGCTTCAGAGGAACCTTCCAGTTATTGTGTGTTCTTAAGATGAAGACTGTGCAAAGTTTTAAGTGTAATACTGCAAAAACAATACTTAAAAACTCATACTTAAATCTCTACCACCATCTGGAGGTTACACAGTGCTACAACATTAAGATCCACATACTAAAATGAAGATAAATCAGCTTTATGTCTTACAGCAGCATTAGACCAACCATAATTATGGCCACTTTCAGTGGCCCCAAATCTCTCTCAAGTTACCTCCTCTTTCATATTTGATCTCCGCTAAGAATGTAGTAGTTTGAAATGTTTTAATATTCTAGATGGTTTAAACTGCTAAACAGATTATATAGCACACAAAAAAAAAAAAACAAAACCAAACACACCCAAAAAGAATTACTGCTTTATTTTAAATCAACTGACTGTTTTAGCATTTACTACACAGCCTGAGAACTCGATTTGGTAGGGGGACAGGGGGAAAAGCACACTGTAACTATCTTTTTAAAAAAAAAATCAAAAAACATGTTTGTTAAATATACAGCAGCTGCCAGGTTAGATAAAAGTTCATTTATTTTTCCAGTTTGAACATCTAATAATCTGTATCTAATTTGTGCATGTATCATTTCTGCATTTAATGTTTCAAAATGTATTTCCAGAAAATGTATTTTGGTGAGACTCCCTAGAAATGCAGGAGTACTAAAGGACCTGAGGTTATAAAACTTTGAATTAGTTCACTTCAAAAGTGCCTTTTACATAGGAACTAAAAGCAGATTAGTGATTTACACAATCTTTGATCTAGACACTCCCTGTCCATGGATCACCAAAAAGTTAAGCATTGTTTTAAAATAGCAAAAAAAGGGAGGGAAAGGAGCAGTTCCGTCTACTGAGTCCTAATGCCTTCTTTGTTCCAAGCAAGCAGTAAGCAAAACGTTTTCCGTTGCCCAGGAAGGACTACTTTTCTCTAAGCCAGTTTAGCATACACAGTTAAAGTAGCTATTTCTAAGACTATCAACTTTTTCTTTTTTTCAGAAGTAAATATAAATAGAAGCCCAGAAAATGCATTTTATAAAAATGCAAGGAGAGCTCTTTTCCTCGATCAGAACTGAAATTTTCTAAGTACATTTTAAGCCTTAACATTAGACTGAAAAAAGCCTCCTTCCTTGGTTATCTTCCAGAAAACTGAATCTAAAGGCCTGTAAGCAATGCAGACCAACTTAAAAAAAAAAAAAAAACGCATCAAGGCCACTGGCTGACTGAAGTACCTTGCCCAGAAGATTCATACTGCAATGAGAAAACTAAAGCTCTTTAAACCCAGTCTTCAAAAGTATAATAGATAAGCATAATGAAAACGAGTATAAATCCCCAGAGAAAAACATTTTAACATGAAATTTAAACCCACATTATATCCCTTTTATTCATGAAATTAAGCTGCACACATCTTCCCAAAGAGCAGTACCACCACCACCAAAATTTGGTTCCAGTAATGTCAAGTAGTCATTTCAAGGCAGACTCAAGTCTCTAGAAAAACTAGAGAACTCATCTGTCTTCGAGTGCATCTAAATTTCACTTGTAGGAATTATTTTCCTTCCTCTATTGACTTTCTTATGAAGATTAAAAGACAAGCCTTGATTAAAAATAAATAAATAAATAAATAAAATATTACGGGTAACTTTGTTACTTAAACATAATTATTTGTAGTAGGCCCAATCAAGAGTAGTACAAAGAAATGTTTCTTTGACCCCTGACAGACAAATTCCAGCAGGCAACAAGTAATATTGCTCAATGAAAACTTACTTCATGCATCATGCTTCACATTCACAGGACAAGCTATCCAAAGGTGGGTTAGTCACAGGAGATACAGCTACCAAGGAGCTGCTGCTGAACAAGGCCATTTCAGAAGACCCAGCCCCTGGGACCTCACATGTCAAGGAGACTCCCTGATCCCAGGAACCCCTGTGCAACAGGATGCCAGAACACTGTGTGCAAATGGGTGCCTGAACACCTGGGGTCAAGGAATGGCTCTTGACCCCAAGGTTTCTTGTTCCAGGATGTCTAAAAGCCGTGTCCAGCCCAGTTGCACATGCCACTCTTAATGAATCTGGCATGGTGGAATCCCAGAATCAGGGATTATCATCATCATCTCAATCCCAGTGGCCCTGTATGTAGTATTTGTATATCCTCTGCATGTGCAGCCAAGCTGCACATTCAGTTTTTAAAAGTTCCCAGCAGGCTAGGACCCCTAGGATCAGTGAGAGCTCAAGAGTTTGCAGGTATCATGCAGGAAGAGTTGACTAACTCCCCCTAATCCAGCACTTGCTAATCCAAACCCTGGGTTCCTTACTGATCATGTCACAATTGGAATTTGATCCTCAATCCTATGAACTGCACCTCCTGCCATGTCAAGTGTGGCAGAAGGTGCTGTTGTTGGGAAACATGGACTACATCTGTATCATGTTATTAAGTGAGCATCTGCCAGGCCCCTTAAATTTTGTAATTTAAACTATATTGTCAAATCAGTATAGTTGACGGTAAATAGACAGGGATAATAAGAAACTGACATTATAAAAGGGGTGCATTTAAAATAATGCTTTAGAGTAACCCTATTTAAAAAAAGAGGTAAGACAGCCATGTATGTTACAACCTAGTGCATAACACACTCATTAGTATACATTTAAGTTAGTTTGAAAAAACAAAAAACAAAAAAAACTCAAATCTCATTTTTTTTTGCACATGACATGCATCTTTTTGGAGAGCAAAGTAAAAAAAGGACTTTTCCAGAGTCATAGCCAAGAGTGCTAACTGAATGCAGTAGTTTACTCACCCTGAGCAAGCTCAAAGGTTGCTATAGTCACAAGATAATGTTAACCCTTTCATAGCCACTGTCAACTGACAGCAGCTTTCTATCTGCTCAGGCAAAAGCTGCCAATTTGGCAGCAACTGTAAGAGTTTAAACTGAACTCCACCCCTACTACTTGGTGGCCCCCCAGAAGAATAGCAGCCATTTGGGCAGCCATTACAGCACGGTACCTCCATGCTTTTATTCCAATGAAGGAAAGCAGAGAAGCTGATTAAGACAAGTATCCCAATTTAGAAAAGTTAGTCAAGCAACTGACCGAGGAACTAAAAGGCACAGTGTTGAATTGCTAATCCCGTTTGACAGAAGTACCCTTTTCTGTATTTGTTTCAGTTTTATTCAGCTATTTCAGTAAAAATGATGAATTCAAAGAGCAAATGGAAGTTGACAAAGCAGCAGGGGGAAGAGAAGAGAGAAGCGTTTTTCCTCTTCCATGCCATCAGTGAGAGAAGGAGATCTAGAATCCTGCAGGACATAGCGAGCAGAAATCATCCATTCAGCTCATTAAGTAGGTATTTCCTATATGTTATAAGTGTTAGTTTTAAAGCCAGAGATGTTAAAGCAGGCATCTAGTACACCTAAGAGAGATTTTTAATAAATAAAAAGATACTGAAAGCATTTCCATCAAAGTTTTGCTTGACAAAGTCATAAGCAAGAAACTACTTAATAACTTAAGAAAGTCTTCAGCATTTCGTAAAACAAAGGTGGAAATAGGACTCATTGCATCAACCTCATACTTAAAGTATAAATTTACTGCAAATGCTTACCAGGAATATCAACTTTGATATAAAGGCTATACTGGGTTGTGAATTAAAAAAAAAAAAAATTGTTTAGGTCCAGGCACTTTACCCCTAAAAAAAATAAAATAAAAATAAATCAGTTCTAGTATACTACAGCCCCAAATAAGACAGTCTCTTAAAAGCAGATGGTCTTGTATGCTATGTGCATGGCACTATTAGATCACTTGCCGAGTAAGAAACAGGAGTAAAGTTTCACATTGCTGGAAATGCTAACACGCTGAATGCTAACTGTAAGAAAAATATTATGTCCCTGGCAAATGTTAATCTAGAATAGCTAATGATATATTGGAGGAATTTTACCCAAGATTAAAAATAAAAAACCTCAAGTGTGCTACCTACTATGCTAGATCTGGGAGACTGAACATCCTATTTTGGGGATTTGGGATAAAATTCTTGTTCTTAATGCCAGGCTGCACAGCCTAGCTTCAAGCTTCCTAGATAAGGCTTCATTTTCAAATTAAAGCATGATACAAGCCACATAAATGTGGAACATTTATGGATGGTTTGCCATTGTATGACATGGCAAATTGGTTGAATGTGTGGCATATTACAGTTTATGACTTGATTAATGCCCTAACCACATGATAAATGTACTGTCTGCCAGGATCAATAGCAGGCCAAAATTTATTTAAGAAAGCCACTAATGTCTATACTGTGCATGCATTAAACCTGCTAATCTGTTAATATTGTCTTTCCAATACATTCATGATGTTGTTACAGCTGTGACAAAAGAAAGTGATCCTCCATTTATAAAGCAAAGTGTATGAGAGATCCCAAATATACACTAAACCCAAGTTCAGAGTAACTTAAGTTGTATCCTCCTAAAAACTGGCTTACAATACTTTAGATAAAGAGTGGTGAATGCTTGGTTTAACAATGAGAGATGAAAGATTATTTTTCAGAAATCATTTAAAAATACTCACTGTAATATCCATATAATACCGTGTCCTCAATTTGTCTTGAAACATTAGCATCAGCCCAGTCCTAGTAAGATTGAAGGAGAAGAGGTTATTCTCTTTCTAAACACTTAATCTACATGAAAAACTTATACAAAAATTAAGTATGGTTTACCTAAAAAGCATAAGATCTTTTCTAGTGCTATGAGACCTCAATAGGTTGAAGAAACCATTAAGAACATGGTAGAAAGAATGCATACTTATTCTGGATTAGACTGAAGAATTTATACTTTCATACTTTATTAGACCAATTCATAGTTGGAAAAATTATTCTTAGCTGGAAAAAAATTCTTCTTGGCAAGCTTCTTCATAAGCTTGCTAAGAAGAATTTTTTTCCAGCTATTTGAGTCGTTCTAATGAAAAGATATCAGATTTATCCAAAAGAACCTTATCTGCCTATGTCCTTAGACCAACACGGCTACAACCTACACACTTGAAATAAGGGCATGGATAGACATTTAATTTCAGCATCACAGACACTATTTTATTGTGTTTACAGGTGTTCAAGTGCCTCAATCCCCAGAGTATTGCAGAGCATGGTGAGAACCTATGCTGCTAGCACTGCAGTTAGGAGATTGGTATACAGATATCCTAAACTGCTTTGCTTCCCCTCCCTCCCCCCACAGTGTACAGGGATTCCAGAGGACAATGCCTACTGGCTGCCCAGGGAACTAGACTCCCACCTACTTCCCCCAGCCCCCTCAACCAAAAGGGTTCAAATTTCACTTCCAAGATGCAATGCGACCCTGCACCCACCTGCACTGTTCCAAGTACAGATTATTTTATTGACTTGGTTTTGAAGAAGTATGAGGCCATCATAGATAAATACTGTATTCTTGTATACAGCCCATCCCTTCCCACCCAAAAAGCCAGCTGCTGGAAGTTGGAGTGTGCATGATGTGCAAGAAATATGGTAAGAGCAGGTTCCACCACTTACAGGTGAACCCTACAGTAAAGTCTGCAGGAAACTACAGGGAGCAGAACAGCAAGAAGGCTCAGATATCTAGCTGCTGCTACTCAGTTACTGAAGGAAAGTGATCTTTCCTTGTAGTTTCTCTTTCAAACTGAAGATTTCAGGGAGTGTATATGCATGAAATATAGTAGCCTTGGTCATGAACTGATGCACTTTCAAAGAGTAAAAGAAGGTCTATTGCTTTTTGGAAAAGAAAAAAAAGTTATTTCTAAAGGTCAAGTTTTGACAAACTGAGGGAATTAGTTAGTAAAGTCATGTGGAAAGAGAAGTTCAGGGAAATGAAAGGAGAAACAACCTTGAATTTCTTTAAGTCTAGTCCAGCAAGTCCAGAGTATGCTGTACTTAGTGGCACAGAGTTGAAGCCTACCAGCACTTCTGAGAGCCTGTAACTCCTGTGCAGACTGGAGCACAAGGCCACATGTGGCCATACAGATATGACCAGGGCCCTAGCCATGCAGTCAGTCTCTGGTTTGCTAGCCAGTTCAGCACAGGAAAGTCCCCAGTGGGGGGAGGCAGTGCACATGTCCCTGGCTACCTACCACAAACACATTTTGTGAACCCATGGGAGATTAGCAGCAGAAGAGCTCTGACCGGCTCCAGTTCAGAAGGGGGTTGTTCCTTGGGCAGGGGTCTTTAAATTTTGCCTGCAAAGAAAGCCAGACTACCACACTGCTCAGCCGCATTCATCTGTGAGACTGGTTCAGCCTCCCTGGGGCAGTAGAGTTTGGGGTACTGTCTGTAGGCATGCCCCATGGCACTTTACAACTACAGCAGTTACACGTGTCACTGGAATTTGTCAAGTTGCAGAGAAGTTGCTGTTGTGAAGAGGTTTGCATTCTCCCCCTCCCCACCCATCTCCCCAGTGAGAAATTACTTGTATACTGCCTTTTTGCAGTGCCAAAGCGACATGTTTCTCACAAGAAATTAATACCCATCCATGGCTAAAGACCCACAAAAGTTTCATATCCACCATGAGTAGACACACAACTATCAATATTTTAATGAAGTTCAAAGATGTTGTGAATGAAACTAAACTGTAGCAAACTTTTACTTTAAAATCTTCTGACCCCTGATCTTGTCATCTTAATACTTTCAGAACCCATGAGAAGTCCTGGACTCCCTTTTCTCTTTGAACTTTTGATCCATGGCAAGTCTGCTCTTCTCATGTCCAATGTTTATCCTGGTCTTACTTACTTCCTTCGAACTATGAACTCCATCATGAGTGTAATCCAAGTTGTCTTCTACTTTCAGATTCTCAACTACTTCCTCCTTATTCGTGAGCAAGTTAGGAACCTGTCCCATCCCCACTGGTTTCTCTACTATCTGTGCCAAAAGCCATTGCCTAAATATAATCCAGAACTTGCTGGACTATGTTGTTAGGTCATCCCTCCTAGCACTTATCACAGTAATTGAAGTCTCGCATAAAACAAACATCAGATCCTGTTATTTGAATGCTTTAGGTTGTCAAGGTTTTGTTTTGTTTTTTTAAGCCTTCTGTACTTTCTTTCCGACTTGGTAATTTATACTAAATATTCACAAAAAAATTCCCCTTACCATTCCCCCTTTATCTCAACTCAGACTTTCAACAGGTCTACCTCACACAATTTCTCCTTTCCCCAACCTGTAGTCACAAAACAAGGTGAACTGCCTTGTTGGATGACATCCCTATGGCCAAAGAAACTAACGCTTTGCAGGCAACATCTGCAGGGCCATTATTAGTCTCTAGACCACTTCCATCTCCTGACCTTTGAATTCTTTGAGAAGATCATCAAGGAGCACATCTGTGACGAGCTGGCATCGGGGATGATGCTCAAGGGCAAGCAGCATGGTTTCATTAGGGGCAGGTCATGTCAGACCAACCTGATTGCCTTTCACAGTCAGGTCACAAAAGCATTGGATGCAAGTGTTGCCGTGGATGTAGTCTTTCTGGACTTCAGCAAGGCCTTTGACACTGTCTCCCACACCATCCTCATTAAAAAACTAGGCAACTGTGGCATCGATGCCTACACAGTTAGATGGATTGCTAATTGGCTAAAGGGTCGTACTTAGAGGGTGGTGGTGGATGGGTCATAGTCAACCGATACCAAAATTTGGGGTGAGGTGGACACACTGGTAGGGAGGGAAAGACTGCAGAAAGACCTGGACAGGTTGCAAGGGTGGGCTAACAAAAACAGGATGTGTTTCAATACTGACAAGTGCAGGGTGCTGCACTTGGGCAGTAGTAACCGCAGCAGACATATAAGATGGGAAACTCCCTTCTTGAGAGCACAGAGGCAGAAAGGGATCTGAGAGTCAGTGACTCCAAGATGAACATGAGCCGACAATGCGAGGTCACGGTCGGCAGGACTAACCCGACCCTATCATGCATCCACAGGTGCATCTCAAGTAGAGCCAAGGAGGTGATCCTCCCCCTCTATGCGACACTGGTCAGGCCACAGCTGGAGTACTGTGTCCAGTTCTGGGCACCCCACTTCAGGAGGGATGTGGACAACATGGAGAGGGTCCAGAGGAGGGCCAACCGCATGATCCAGGGACAGCAGGGCAGACCCTACAGTGAAAGGCTACGGGACCTGAACCTGTTCAGCCTTCACAACAGAAGGCTGAGGGGGGACCTGGTGACCATCTATAAACTCACTAGGGGGGACCAGAAGGGTTTGGGGGAGACCTTGTTTCCCCCTAGCCCCCCCCCCAGGATAACAAGGAATAACAGCCACAAGTTGTTGGAGAGTAGGTTTAGATTAGACATCTGTAGGAACTACTTCACAGTTCGAGCGGCTAGGATCTGGAACCAACTTCCAAGGGAAGTGGTGCTGGCTCCTTGCCTGGGGGTCTTTAAGAAGTAGCTCGATGCCTACCTGGCTGGGGTCACTTGAGCCCAGTTTCCCTCCTGCCCAGGCAGGGGGTCGGACTTGAAGATCTACAAGGTCCCTTCCGACCCTACTTCTATGATCTTCACTGACCAGAGCCCATGTCCTTCACTCCAGCATGTAAAGCCAGAAAGTCACTTTGGGTTTGCCCAGGGTCATACCTGGCAGCATCAGGGTTCATGTGAGCCAACAGCCTGAGATAGCAGTCAATGGACTAGGGCAATAGTTCTCAACCTTTTAGGCTCAAAGCACCCCTCAGAAAACACCAACTCTTCATTTTCACCTTTCTGACTACAGAAAAAGAGCAATTTTGTGGCAAAGAACCCAGGAAGACCATAACAGGTCAGAAGGTTTTTGACACCATTAATTCCCATGTAAAAGCTTTGAGTTTACCTTGTAAACCATGTTTATATATTCAAGTGCTCACACTGCATGGTACCCCACAGCACCCCTGAAAGCATCTCAAGGAAACCCGGGGTGCCATTGTACCCTGGCTGAGAATGACTAGACTAAGGAGTCTCAGCAGCAGCATACCTCCTGAGATAGTGGAGGAAGCCAATAGATGGGTAACTCCATTTCCCTAAAGTGAGTTGCTAACAGGGGGAATGTCCCTGCAGAACTATTGACTCCCCCCTCTCTCCCCCTGGCTTTCAGAAAAAAAGCAAGCAGAACTTGATGCAAGTTTAATAGACCTTCCTATAATAGCATGTTCACAGATCTGATACTGCACAAGGAACAACCTTTGGCTCAAAGTTAGATGACAAGTATAAACAGAGAAGGAAAATTTTTTAGAGTCAATGACTGCATTCCCCAACATCAAGCCAACACTTGTTAAGTACAGTATAACTTCATGAATCCAGCATGCTTGGGACCCAGCACCTGCGGGAAGCATGAAAGTTGCAGATTTTTTAAACCAGAGCGGCAGGCTGGTCCCAGAGCTGCGGGGTGGGTGGTTAGCAGTGGCCAGTCCTGGAACAGCGGCTGCACGTAGAGCTGCAGCACAGGGTAGTGGATGGCAGCAGCAGCTGCTGCATGCAAGCTTCTCCTTCTGCTGCTCCAGGACAGGCCACCACTACTCCCTGATGGTGTGTAGGTTTTAAAGAAAGAAGTGCCAGATTTTTGATAATTTCAAGTTTTTGATATCCAGATTTGAGGTTATACTCTACCAAATAATTAATCCCTAAAAAC